GTTATAAAAGATTCGTTTGCACGGATGTGGAAGGAACCACAATAGGGTTGTATAGTTCAAACAGTCTGAGTGAAAGAAAAAGAATGTTTTGTTAGTAGGTAACAAACAGATGCTCGGAAGGCAAATGTGCTGGGTCTTTTACTTCAAAAGTTACTGAGAGTTAAAAGACCAAAAAGACAAGTGAGAAAAATTCACTGAACTTGGAATCTCCTAATGAGGGTTTTAGTCTTGTTTCTCCTATTTCCAAACTGTGTGACTTTGGGCAAGTGACGTCCTTTCCCCGAGCCTCAGTTTTACCTTTATTTTACTAGTAGAATGGGGCGGATGCTAATAACAGCCCCTGGCCTGTGTCCCAGAGTCCCTGTGAGAGTCCCGTGAGAGGCAGATGGAACCAGGCCCACTGGATGTTACTTAGTTCACTCCTGTGCTAACACCCTGCAGGTTGAGAATGCCAGGACACTGAGGCAAGAAAAAGTCAGTACCAAGGGGATCTCTAGGAATGATGGCTAAGTTTCACTCTCCCAGGAAAGATGCTGAGGGAAAAGACTTTGCTGAATCAGAGAATGCTAAACCAAGCTGTTGTGCATCTTGGGGCCAAGATTTCTCAATCAACTGTCCATTCAGCAACTCTGAACTCCTGGGCACAGTCCTGGGCCCTGACACAGGGCCTCAGGCAGGTGGTCTCTCCATCTCCCTGGACCTTGAGGTCCTGCCATCTCTGCTGGGGTCACCGTGAGTCAGAATCCCCCTGAGAGGCTGGCAGTTGAACTGTAGGAGCTCAGTGTGGGGTGAGAGTTTGGCCAAGGCACCCCCAAATATCTCTGCGAATGTCCTACTTTCTGCTCTTGCCTAAACTCCAAGCCTGGAGTCACCCGTGACTGTCCCTCTTTCTGTCCACATCCTGACTGTCATCCTCTTCTGTTCACTTCTCATCACCCTCAGCCACCATCAAGTCCAGGCTACTAGCATTTCTCACCAAGACAACTGCATCAGCCTCCCAACTGGCCCACCTCCTGCCCTCAGCCATCTATTCACTCCATACCAGCAGCCAGACCAGTCTTTTAAAAACACAAATCTGTTCCCATCACTCCCTGACTATAACCCTCGAGTAGCTTCCCAATATTCTTAGGCTAAAGTCCAAACCCTCCTGACAACAGTGGCCTTATGATGTCCTCTTGCCTTCACCTCTGACCTTTCACCTCACCAGCCTCCTTGCTTGCTCTCTGCATTCCAGTGATGCTCAGCTCCCGTGTTTCCAACATTTCTCATTCACCGCAGGACCTTTGCACGGTGTATTTCTTTGCAGGAATACCTTTCCCCCTTATTTGGGTTTCCCTTTTCCCTCACCTTCATCTTGGTCCATCATCTAACATCTATGTAGTAAATGCATTCTCACACATCCTCCAATTTTCACTTTAAACAAGCACTTCCTTAAAGAAGCCCACCTTGATTCTATTACCCTTCCCCACCATTAGGCTCTCATAGCAGACTAGGCTTCACAGTATTCATCCCACTATAATTACTATTTTATTATCTGTTTCCCCCTTATAAGAAGGGGAGATTAGAACACAGACAACCCAGAGGGAAGACCATGTACGGACGCAGAGAGAAGACGGCTGTCTACACGCCAAGAAGAGAGGTCTCTGAAGAAACCAACCCTGCTGATACCTTGATCTCGGACTTCCATCCTCTAGGATGGTGAGAACATGAATGTCTGTTTAAGCCACGCAGTCGATGGGGTGTTATGGCAGCCCCAGAAGACTAACACAGCCCGCCAAAGAACCACAGCTCCAGGGATGGGAGGAAGACCACACGACAGCAACACGGGCTTTGGGTAAAAATAATAATAAAAAGATGTTTTGAGAAGAAGAGCCATTTAGAATGAAAAGTGCCAACATAATTCCTCTCATACAGCTGACTGGCAAAATGTACACGTACACACACACACACACACACACACTTTGGTGGGGGCAGATAAATTTTTCTAAACTGTCACTACTCTTTATGATTATAAACAGAGAACACGCCATGGTGGGAAATTGAGAAAATTCCAAAAGGCGCCCGGAAGAATTCAGTCACCTGTCCTCCTCCCCTGCTCGGTACTCGGTATCTGTTTCTCCAGTCTCCTCTCTCCCCCTCTTCTCTCTTTCGGCCCTGCTTATTTGTGTTCTTTTCCACCTATTTTTTTTAAATGCAGTTAGGATTAATTTTGGCAAATTGCCTTTTCTCTTAACACTGAAATATGACCATTTTCTCCTATGTTATTAAAAATTCATCTCAAATGTCATATTCCACAGCTGCCCAGAATCCTCCACAGTCTGCACGTGACACGGTGGGCTCCCCCTTTCCCCTGCTGTTTCTATTTTGAAACTAATGTAAACAATGCTGTGATAAACATCCCTATAGATAAGTCTTGGTGCACACCTTGGGCTATTTCCTCAAGGCAAATTTCCTAGAAGTGATTGGTAACTCACATTTTGAACGTGGAAAATTTTTAAAATTCTTAAAACTTTCTAATAGGTTATATGACTTTTGGGGGTGTAACAACTTCTGACCACACATATCAAAAAGCTCCCAAGAGTTTATGTTGTAATTTTAGACCACTTGAAAGTAAAAAAGCAAAAGGAAAAAAGAAAGGGCAGAGAAAAATCTAGGTTACCTGGCCATAAACACAAGAAAGTGACATCCATCCCTGGCTATAAGGAAATTGTCCTTCAGGGGGAGAGCTTGGTTACTTCAGAAGGGAAGGGGAGGAGTTGTCCTGGATTATTTATAACACTCTGTGGAGTGGGTACCCATTTTACAGATGAGGTAACTTGAGGCACAGAGAGATGGAGTCATGCACTTGCTCAAGGTTGTGCACAGCTAGAAAATGAAGCAGTCAGGACTGAAATTCTTTGTTGCCTGGCTCCAAAGACCAAAAGCTCTACTACTATGCCACACTGGCAGGGTCTGTGGAAGATGGTCTCGACTCAGGCATAAGCAGCTGGGCAGGACAGCTCCAGACCCACTCCCAGCACTGGGTGTCAGGCACTAGGTGTGCAGGGATGGGAAGAGGCAGAGTGTGTCCTGGGGTGCATGAGCCTGTAAGGCCCACCTGACCCCCCCCCCAGGTGATGGCCAATGTACCCACCTGGCCATTTGCTGGTCTAGATCACAATTTTTATTGTTGCATTGACTTTATCAGAACAGCTGCAGTGGTGTGACAGCCTAGAGGAAAATGCAGTAATGTATCAAAGCAAATGAGTATACAGATAAAAGCAGGAAGGCTAAACAAACAAATAAAAACCTCCAAACGCCTGTGGCAACAAGAAGGTGAAATTGTGAATAAATTGTTCTCTGTATTTTCCAACCTTTAAAAAAAGTGATGTTGCTTTTGCAGAATTGTGGTGGAAAAACAAGGTCTTTGAAGTCACACGGACCTGGGCTGTGTGACTTCGGGCGAGTCACTTCACTTCTGAGCCTCAGTCTCCTCACCTGCAGAATGGGGATCAACATTGCATCTTGTCCTCACGAGGAACTGAGATGAGGGATTCCCACAGCACCCTTAGCCCCATCCCTGCAGGTGGCAGTGACTCAACAAATACCAGTTCCCACACACATTCATGCCTTGCTGAGGCCTGGAAATGCAGGGGACAGGGCCCTGGTCTGGGAGGGGCTGAGAGGGGAGAGGAAGGGACGACTGTATTCTGACGTGAGAAGCACCTTTACAGAAGGAACAAGCAAGTCCACATTATTTTTGGAAACAGTCATGATCTGGCTCCCTAGCTCATGACCACAGCACAAACAGAGCAGGAGGCCGTGCTCACTGCTGACAGATCTTTAATCTGTCCCCACTATGACCTTTTACTTCTCCATCAAAACTTACCTGTCCCAGCTCCCCAAACCCTGCTATCCACTGGGGCTAGTCTGGTCAGAGAATTTCTACAATGGACACGAGTGCCCACGGGTAACTGGACCACTCCAGACAGCAAAAACGGAACACAGGCTTATTACACAAAACTTGGAAAACACAGAATATCCAAATTGCTCATTCCCTCGCAACTAACCTACAGATGACATTTGGAAAAAAGCTTTCAAAGCTTCCTCATCCTTTCCCAAGGAGTGACGCAGATGGTGGCCACGTACGTAGGTGCTGTGACAGGCCTGCGGGAGGGGCGCTGGGTGGAGAAGGCTCTCTCCTACCAAACGCCCTGGGGCAGCTGCTGATTCCAGGGACAGAGCCAGCTCCGCACACAGCTACCCCATGAGAGGACAGTTTCCCTGATCCCCTGATTTCTCCGAGGTCAGTAGGGAGGGACCAGGGCCGTTGGCAGAACTCCCAGGCAGTCCCCCAGTCAAAGGGTCTGTGTCTCCAAATGCTCCTAAACGGATGGACAGGCAAGTAGCTCCCAGGACAGTCCTCCATCCGTCCCAGGCCCCACTCAGGCTGGGCCAGGGCCCTCTGCACAGGGCTTCCCCTTCTCAGACCCCCAAGTCAGTAATACCCCTCAGTGTGGCTGTCCTCAGTGAGATAATGACTGAAAAATAACCTGAGGCATTGAAAGATACTAAAGTGTGAATGACCAAAATGACAGCCATGTAACCCACATAGGAACATGGCTCTTTATCTCAAAAGGACATCGACTAATCCAAATGACCCTCTATTTTGCTAGAATATCGCCCCAAGGTAAAGTGGGTAACATACAGACTCCGTGGGGGGCTGGCAAGGGGGAAAGTCACACACACAGGAAATGAGTCCAAACTGCCGTTTCAGATTTGTTTTTTGCTTCTTCTTCTTCCCTCGCTGCCCACAGGTCCACAGGGTTTTGGGAGTGGCTGCTGAGCGCTTCTGTGTTGGGAGGGGGTTAGGGAGGCTGGGGCGGTAGTGGGTGGTTGACAGTACAGACAGGTGGTTTGAAAACCAAGTGTTTCCTAATTGGGGTCACTAACGGCGCTGAGGTGCAGGTAGGAATTCTGAGCCTCCCTCCGTGAACCAGGGATCTTGGTCTCACCCTTACCTGTCTCCTGGGCTGCTCTCGGTCCACGCTCCGGGTGCGGGAAACCTATGAGCAAAGATCAGAAAGGCAGGTTAGAGGGGCTTGTATTTTCTGGGTCACAAACTGGTGGCCAGGGATCCAGATCTGGCTTTTTGAAATTGAATATTTGTTTAAAATTGAATATTTGAACTGCTCCTAGTATTCAGTAACCGAGGGATTGTACATAAAAGTCTGGCTTTCTGACTCCTCTGGGGAGGGCTGTACCTCTGGGCCCCATGCAAATAGGACAGTGATGGGCTGGAGCTGCGTGGGGCTGCTCCCCTAGGCCCACAGATGCTCCCCAACCCCACCCATCTGTCCGTACAGGGCACTGGAGCGAGCAGCCCTGCACTGGCATCGCATGACCTGTGCAGCCCAGGCTCCCACCCCGACCCTTCCCTTCTCTGCTCCAGACACAGAAACTGAGAATTCTAGGGGGAGAATGCCGGTCCGTCCCTTGGAGTGATCCAGGGTGAGAAGATCGAGAAAGACTCCAGGCCACGTTTGGGTCGGGGACCCTGCCACCCCCTCTCCAGGGTCTTCTTGCAATATCCCTGCTCTGCGGCTCCAGGGGACTCAATCAGGCAGGGTCCTGAGGGTTTAATAAAGGACCTCTTGGCAAAGGTGCGGGCAGGAGTGGTGCCGTTTCCCAGCCCCAGTGGGAGCGGTTCTGTTGCTAACACCCCTCGTGTGGAAGTGCGCTGGGGGGCAAGGTGGGGAAGTAGTTTCCAGACCCAGGTGCAGAGCAGGCTGCGTGGGATGATCCTTGATAGGAGCTGTCACCTGTGGGCAAGGCATGTAGCCAGCCCAGGGAGATTCCCAGGGAGAGAGCTGGGAGACTAAATACCCCAACATCTCTCCCCTGCCTCACTCCATGTCCTGCCAGAGCTCCCCACTGGCCAAAGCCAATAGGAAGCCAGAATGGGAGGGAGTGCAGGATGCAGCCCTACAGGTCCCGCCCCACCACAGGGCAGCGGGGAAGGGCGGACAGTGGGTCTCCAGGGGTGTGTGGCAGTCGTCCACAGGGCAGCGGGGAAGGGCGGACAGTGGGTCTCCAGGGGTGTGTGGCAGTCATCCAGCGCAGTGGCCCTGCCTCCTGGGCCCTGTTGCCCCACGGGATCCACACCCCTCAGGCCCTAAGCCAAGGCTAACCAGGTCCTTCAAGATGTCAGAAGCTCGGTTCCATGCCCACCAACTATTAGTCGGCACCATCCTCCTGGAGCTTCTGTTCAGCTTACCTGGCCTGAGTCTGAGTTTTCTGCCCCTCCCCCAGCACCTGGAGCCCCATCGCTGGGGCCCTGAGCTCCCCTTGCCACCCCTGCCTGTTCCCTTCCACTGGACACCGTCCAATCCTTCTCACTACGGAGCCAGGCTATCCCATTCCTGGAAGGACAGCCCAGCCCAGAGTTCACAGAGATGGGGGAGCAGAGCTGCAGGGAATCCAGAGGCCCAGGGCCGATACAGAGGAGTCACGGTGGAAAGCGGCCAGCAGAGCGCCCCCCACCCCCAAATCTCTTCTAGGAAAAACACGAGCCTGCAAGAGGCAGCCAGGTCAAGGGTTTCCTGGAACCCACAGCAGGAAGTGACCCGGGAGCTCACAGGCCCCAGCACCTGCGCTATAGAGATGGGGAAACTGAGGCCGGGAGAAGGGGAAACTGAGGCTGGGAGAAGGGGAGGCTGAGGCCGGGAGAAGGGGAGGCTTGCACTGCCCACACAGCCAGAAAGCAGCACAGCCAGTGTTTTGTTGGCCTGCCAGGCTGTCCCTGCCCCTGCCTGGGACACAGGAGGGCCCAGCTGCATCAGGAGATGGGGGTCAGTGTTCAGTTTCTTCAATAATGATTTTACTAATTAGCACCAACATTAAGGGGTCTCGGTTCATCCGCTTCTCACCCCAAATCTAGGAGGAAGGTACTGTAATGATTGCCATGCTACAGAGGAGGACGCTGAGTCCCAGAGGAGTTATCTAACATGGCTGAGACCAGCACGGCAGGTGAGTCCTGGAGCAGGGGCAACAACCTCGACGGCAATAATAATAACTAGCACTGCCAACGAGGACGCCCCCTCCAAGCTGGCTCCGTGATGAGGTCCTCGCCCATACTATCCCGTGGGGTGTTTTATTGTTGTTGTGGGGTTTTGAATGAAACGTTTCTACTTGTTAGGACATGGATGATCTACATCCTTTTTCCAGCTTTTTTGAGATACAATTGACATATAACATTACATAAGTTTACAGTGTATGTTATCTGATACATTTACATATTGCAAAGTGATTACCACTATAGCATTAGCAGTACCTGCATCACGTCACATAATTACCACTTCTTTTTTGTGGTGAGAACATTTAAGACCTGCTCTCAGCAACTTTCAAGTGTATAAATCCCATAGTTTTAACCAGATAGGACTTAGCTACGTGGCTATTTAGCTGCCTCCTGACTGTTTTGTTCTGCACACTTATTTTCTGACCCTCTGTGGGTCTCTCCCTAATGTCTCAGCCTATATGAGGCAGAAAGCAGAACTGACCATCTGCGACGCCTGGTACCCTTCAGTGATGTTCAAGGGGCCTCCCCAGGCTCAGCTGGGCCCAACTGCTCCCCACCCAAGGCCCTGAGCTCATGCACACAGTGGCAAAGGCCCAGGCTGGGGGCAGCCAGGCCAGCCTCATCAGCAGTGCCCTGTCTTCTCCGATGGGGACTGCTGGGATGAAAGATTGATGAGCGATCTGTCTTCACTGGTGAATTTTTAATTACGGAAGAAAGGAGACCCCGGCCCCTGGCCCAGCCAGGACTGCAGGGAGGGTGATGCTTGGGTGTCACCACTGTTAACATTTTATCCACACTGACAACAGCTATGAACCCTGGGTCCAACTTTCTCAGTCCATAAATAAAGCTGAAAAGCTAGGATGAAGAGTAATTGGTGGGGAAACCGGCAGACCCGCAACATGGGCAGCTCTGGAATGACATGAGGGTGAGTGAGACTAGGACTTCGGAAGGCCTGGGGCAAGTCTGGGCACAGGGGTGGGGGCTGTGGGGGCCTGAAGGCCAAGCCAGCTGTCAGTCTGTGACTCTTGCCCTTCTAAATTGCAGGTGACAGCACCTCGCACCCTGGATCCCCTTACAGTGAGCGAGCTGAGACAGGGCTGAGCTTGGAGCACGATCGCTGAGTGGGGACCCAGCCCCCAGGTTTCAGGTCCCTGCCCCAGGAGAAAAGGATGCTTGTGGGATTATCCACGACTCAATTCCATCCAATTTCACAAGCCTACCTGTAGAAAGAGATGAAGGCCTGGATTCAAATCTCTGCTTCATCATTTACTGGCCCTTGTTCTCAAGCAAGTCCCTCTAAACTCCTGTGCCTCAGTTTTCTACTCAATAAAATGGGAATAGAAACAGCCCCTGGAGAGGGCAGTGATGAAGGTAAAATGAGAGGATGCAGGGAAGACATGGAGGGCTGAGCCTCGCACACAGTGAGGTCTTCATGAACATTAACCATACAGGGAAGAAGAAGACACCAGCTCTGCTCTTAAACCGCTTGTAAACTAGTGGGGATCCCACACTGGCTAAAAACAAAACTCACAAGGAAGATGAAATAAGGGTAAAATGACACTACAGAACACCCGGAGTGAGAACTCAGGGCTGGGGGATCACTTCGATTCAGTGGTAGCAATCAGAGAAGGCTCCCCAGAAGAGGAGCCTCACCTCTAAGTGCTTGCCCTCCTTTGTAAGTTCAGGGACTAATCTCCTCGGGTGCGAGGACTTCCCCATCCTGAGGTGCCCTCTCGGCAAGCTGGGCATCCGTGAGGTTCTAGTGTGTACCTGGTTCTCAGTGATACCACTGTTTAGCCAATAAAGTCACGAATCACTGGCTCCCAGGAGCCCCAGACTTTCCAGCACACATCCTACCTCCTGCAAGAACCGTCCCAGGATTTCTCCAGGAGTGGAATGGATTCCATTCTCCTCACATGACACTAACAGCCAAGGCCCAAACCACAAACCTGAAGCGTCCCGCTTGCAGGGGAGGAGCCCTGGGCTCTAGTCCCAGCTCAGCCCCCTGCTCCCTGTGAGACGCTGGCCAAGTGCCAGCCACTCTCTGGGCCTCAGTTTCCTTATCTGTGAACCAGCGGGCTGGACCGGATTATACTCCCCAGAGTAAGCTCGGGGGGCACCAGCCTTCTGAGAGGCTCCCCCCCGTAACAGTGCACCACGCTTCATGCTGTAGCCGCTGATGGCCCCGCAGATTTCACAAGGCAATCAACACAGCAGGCTCCGAAGTGCTGTAACACAGGAACCCGCTTAATTCTGCTTGACTCAGTATTTCCCAAACTAACTTGACTTTCGAAGCTTTTTTGGAGTAATGTCTATGAATGCCCACAAAACTAGCATTCCTCAGAACCCACCTTGGGAACGCTGGCCTCAAAGATCTCTCAGGAACCTTTCTGCTCTGTCAACAAGGGGATTCAGTAAGAGTCTGAGGTGTGGAATTTCACCCTCTGGGTAATTTCCCCAAAACGTCTCTGCTGCATTTCTGGCGGAGATGTGAGGGTGCCCTCCTCCAGCTCCCACGGCAGGCGCTCTGCGTCACAGCAGTCCCTGCCCTGTGATCGTGGGTGTGTCTCCTCCTGCAGTGGACCACAAGCTCCTGAGGGAGGGACAGTGTCTGGGCACTGGTGTGTTCCTGGGCTTGACAAGCTCAGTGTCTGAAACACACAGTATGTGCTCAGTAAACACGTGCGAATATGGGGGTGATGTGTAAAATATTTCACAAGGGGCATGTGCCAAGAGGGATGTCAGCTGTAAATAACCTACAGGTGCCTGTTAGTCAAACACCAGCCTGGTGGAATGAATGAATGAATTTCAAAACCTGTACAAAAGACTACAACTATTAACTAGAGAGAAAAATCACTTTCTAAGGCAAAACCCAACGCTATGTTTTTAACATTTTTTCCCCTTCTGGGCTTTTCTGGTTTGGCAATTCAGATCTGGGGATGGGGGCTGGGTGGTACCAAGATCAGCCCTTCCCCCAAGGCTGGAGCCAAGGCCAGGTGAGAAAGT